GTTAAGCTTTCCTGTCATTTGGTTAATCAGTTTCTCATCGATAGTCAGGTGCCGGACAGTCGTGTAAACTAATCGCTGGAACTGTTTGGACACACATTCACATCGGAACCGGTCATCGAGTGTCAGATACGACAGTATGAGTTCGCATAAGTCATCACCGAATCGGTCCAACGAGTCTTTGCCTGATATTTGCGGCTATTATTGAGAAACAAAAAGTTTTGATTAGAACTCGCGATTAGTTTCAGTAGATCTTGTGATCACCTCTTGATTGTCGTGAACCACGTCTTCAGTCACATCTCATTTGCATTTCTTCTGGTTATTTCTTCTGTAAAAAACAAGTTTTTAATCAATTTCTTGAACTTCAATATAAGCCGACAATCATTGTCTCAATTCGTGGATCCGTTTGGCATCGAAATGAAGTAATAGATCCCGGGTATTGGCCGTAGTATTACTGATGATAAATGAACTCAATTTCCGATTACTATTTCTCGCGAACCTCTTCGCGATCTCGTAGTCCAGATGATAGCCTGCGGTGTATGTGATGACCAGTTCCTGTAGTTTCGGTAGTCTTGAGATACAATCCAATGAATCGCTGGTTATAACACTTTTCCGGTCAGAGATTTCCAGACTTTGAAGTCTTCGCAGATTTGTCTCAATTTGTTGGAACAGTTTGTAGTGAATATCCCATAAGTGTAACAACATGTGTGTCAACCCTTTGGGCCACTTATTCATTGGATCAAATGCGTGCCAATCAGTGGTAAACGGACCGTTAGGGTCAGGTAAATGTAGTCTTAGATCTAAACGTTTCAATTGTCTCATAAATGGTATGGCATTAAAAACATCGACAATCAGTTGTGGTGTTTGTGAACACATCCGGAGATTTAATAACTTCAGTTTCGGACACTTTATACCGATTTCACGCAAAGAGTCGCCGATTGAGTAGTTAATACTGTCCTCATTCCTGTAGAAACTAAGCGTCAATTGCCTTAATTGTGGTAATCGTGACACTCGTGTCAAGAATCCGGTGATTATGTCTTTAAGCCCCGTGTCTTGTGGTATATTTCGGACAACGAGACACTCGAGCGACTGATTGTGTGCCACAAACTCGTCAAACATTTGAATATCGAAATCGGCGTCGAAATAGGTATCGAAGTGCCGCAAGTTCTTCGCCAACAACTCGTTGTCCGGTTCGGTGAACACGTGCGACAAGTCGAGGGTCTTTATACGACACAATTTCGGACACAACGGTATGTTTGATCGCCAGCTGTCTTGAAACTTGAGATCCATTTCGGTGACCAATGGGCCGAACGTACGGTAGAAATAGTCGGCGAATGTGTTGTTCTCAAAGAAAGTGCACTTAATTTGCCGAAAATGTCTTAAGCGATGGCACCGCAAGTCATCGATGGTTCGCAGCATTCGACGGTTGCACTCATTGTATATCATGTCCTCGATGTCAATGAATTCAATGTTTTTGCACTTCTTAGTGATTGTGGTGATCAGTAAGATGCCTAAATTGGTGGCACGGATGTGGTAGTAGTACCGGATCAGTTGAATTGACATATCACTTCTGCAGCACAGTTTCCGGACAGTCGTGTATATCAATCGCTGCCACTGTTTGGACACACATTCACATCGGAACCGGTCTGAGAGTGTGAGGTAAGACAGTATGTGTTCACACAAATCATCACCGAATCGGTCCATCGAGTCTTTGGCATAAGTTTGTGGCTATTATTGAGACATTAAATAAAAACTTTGATTAAAACTCGTGTTAATTATCACCAAAACAGTGAATACCTGTTGACTGTCCTCTTGAACCACATCTGCAGTCACTATGTGTTTGTGTTTATATATAATGATCACATCCTCAGTCTGTGTCTCTGCATTCTTCGTGAGTTTAGGTTTCTTCTGATTAGCCATTTTTGGGATCTGTTTCAGTGATAGTTTGTGTCCACTCTATGGACGCGTAATGACTCAATGAATGTTTTGATTGATTATCTTATCTGTAATGAAATGCCAATTAAATGTTTGGTTTATTATAAATGTTGAATAATTTCAAATGAATTACCCTTTGATTGAGTGTTAATTGTAATCAAAAGTTATATAAATTGCACACAAAATGAGTGTTTATTTGCAAACCATAACAAAAACACATGTTTTTAGCGCTCAATAAAAGTTCAAACTTTAAATGTTTGGTTAGAAATACATTACGTTTTCATAACTGTTTTGAACAAAGTTTCAAACTTTTATTCATAGCTTTTGATTAGAAGTTTGAAGATTAAAAACATTTTAGTATTTTATTAATATGCTATCAAATCGTATAAAAAGTAATTTATCATTAATGTGTCCATGCAATTCAAATACTATTAACAGTAAACTGTATGTTTATGAATACATACAAATTGAAATACAGTATTTTAATTACCGTATAGAGAAAGTTATGATTAAAATAAGAATTTATGTCAATAATGAACAAAATTATGAGATTTAGATACAAATCATGTGACCATTCATTGTCTCAATTCGTGGATACGTTTATCATTGAAATGAACCAAATATTTATCGTAATAGCCATCAGATATAATAATTGATCGCAACTTCGGACTACTATTCCTCACAAACCTCTTCACCAACTCTTCATCCAATTGTTTACCTTTAGTCCATTTGATGAGCAGTTCCTGTAGTTTCGGAAGTCTTGAGATGTGATCCAATGAAACACAGTTAACAACATTTTTCTCATCAGAGATGCGAAGACTTCTAAGATTTCGCAGATTTGTCTCAATTTGTTGAAACAGTTTGTATTGAATACTCCACAAGCGCTCTAACGTTAAGTGAGTCAACCCTTTGGGCCAATCACTCATACAATCAAATGCGTGCCAATCGATGGGAATCGGAGGGTTGTCTTCGTCGTCATCGACTATAGGTATGAAAAGTTTTAATCGTTTCAATCGCTTCATAAAAGGTATGGCTTTCATGACATCGACATTCAGTTGTGGTGTTTGTGAACCCATTTCGAGCCGAAATCTCTTAAGTTTCGGACATTTTATGCCGATTTCACGCAAATAATCACCGATTGAGTACTCAATGGGTGTCATCGCATCCATATAAAACTCGAGGTCTAATTGCCTTAATTGTTGTAAATGTGTGACTCGTGTCAGGAATCCGGTGACAATATCTTTAGAATCCAAGAGTTGGCTTAAGAAACCAATTAGGCGTTCGAGTGACTGATTCTGTGCCATAAACGCGTCAATCATCATGATATCGATGCCGTCAGTGACTGCTAACTCCAAGTGCCGTAAGTTCTTCGCCAACAGCTGTTTGTCCACCGATTCTGTGAACACGTGGGACAGGGAGTCAATGTCCAGTCGACTCAACTTTTGACACAATGGGATCAGTGATCGTTTGCTGTCGTGGTAATTGATATTCAATTCGGTGAACATATAACCGAAAGTGTGGTACAAATGACTGATAATATCGTCGCTTAAGTTCAAGAAATTGCCGTAAATTTGTCGCAAACGCCGGCAATTAGACAACAATTCAATGATAGTCTCCAACACTCGAAGATCTGCGGGTGATTTGCCTGTCAGTTGCCGACAGTCTATGGACTCAATGTTTGGGCACTTCTTAGCGATGGCCACGACTTTCGAGACATCGAAATAGGTTTCGCCGAAAAGGTTTTGCTTTCGTTTCAGAAGTACTTTCTCATCGATAGTGATGTGGCGGACAGTCGTGTATATGAATCGCTGCCACTGTTTGGACACACATTCACATCGGAACCGGTCATCGAGTGTGAGGTAAGAGAGTATGTCTTCACACACTTCTTCGGGTAACGCAACCATTGAGACATTTGTGGCTATTATTGAGACATTAAACAAGTTTTGATTAAAACTCGTGTTAATTATCACCAAAACTGTGAATACCTGTTGACTGTCCTCTTGAGTCATATCTGCAGTCACTTTGTGTTTGCTTTTCAATTGTTGAGCCATTGTTGGGATCCAATTCGTGATAATGAAGTGTTAATTGCAATGAAAAGCGTATAAAATGTGCACAAAATTGGTCTCAATTTCTGAATGAAAACCAAAACCAAAACAAAACAAACATTTCGTCAGAAAATAAGTTTTGAGTCGAAAATAGATTACGTTTTCATCACTGCTTTGAAAAGTTTGAAACTTTTTGATTTGACTTTATTATATTATTATTATTAATTTCCATGTAATATAATTGATCCTGGTATCGTAAATTAGATATTAAATGCGAGTGAATCGGTTTGTATGGTTTAAATCATAGTTTTGAAAATATTTGTTTTTATAATTTGTTTTATTAGAAATTGAATTAAATTTAAATCTCAATACAAAATCCAAGTGAATATGAATTAAAGCAAAAATAATTGTGAATTGTGTTCATAATAGCAATGAATAGAAAATAAATGCAATCATAATATTATCGGTTATACTAAATAGTTAAACAAAATGATTATTTGAGAGATATTTACAGTCAAATTATGTGTATTGTATGGCTTTTATTATAAATTGAATTCAATTTAAATCTCAACACAAAACCATAGGCTATTTAGAATTAAAGCAAAGTAATAATAATTGTTAATAAATACAAATCAATACAAAAACAGTATTAATAAAAATAATGAAATGATAAAACATTTACGAGAATAAGACTGAGATTATGTGTATTATAGGACTTATAGACAGGTAATAGTGGTTCACATATAGTCGACAATCATTGTCTCAATCCGTGGATCTGAATAGAAATGATTTATTTTGAAGCAATTCAGTCAAATTGAGTTCATTCTCCAGTTTTATTATCTTAATTGATCGCAACTTTGGACTACAGTTCCTCTCAAACTCTTTAATGGCTTCTTCGTTAAGATGTATCCCTTTGAGGCATTCAATGACCAGTTCCTGTAGTTCCGATAGTCTTGAGATGTGATCCAATGGATCGCTGTTTACAACACTTTTTGCGCTAAAGATCTGAAGACTTTGCAGTTTTCACAGATTTGTCTCAATTTGTTGAAACAGATTGTATTCATTGAGCCATAAGTGCAGCGATAAGTGAGTGAACCTTTTGGGCCATTCATTCATACCATGAAATGCTCGCCAATCTATTCTCCGGAAAGTATTCAGATTTAAGTCCAATCGCTTCAATCGCTTCATAACTGGTATGGCATTCAAGACATCGACACTCAGTTGTGGTGTTTGTGTGGTATAAATCACTTCGAGACCAAGTTTCTTGAGTTTCGGACACTTTATGGCGACTTCACGCAAACAATCACTGATTGAGTACTCGGTGTTAACCTCTGTTTTGAGCTTAAGTTCACGCAATTGTGGTAAACGTGTGACTCGTGTCACGAATTCAGTGATAATGTTATTCGGGATTATTGTGACCGACAGAGACCTCAGCGACTGATTGTGTGCCACAAATGTGTCAAACATTGAGACATCGAAATCGGTGTCTAAGCGTAACGCGAATCCGAAGTGTCGTAAGTTCTTCGCCAACAGCTGTTTGTCCACCGATTCGGTGAACACGTGGGACAGGGAGTCGACATTTAAGCGCAACAATTGCGGACACAATGATAACAATCGTCGCGAGTCTGTGCGTCCCTTGAGATCCAATTCGGTGACCATTGAACCGATCGCTCGGAACCAATAGTCGACGATATCTTTGCCGAACGCCAAGAAATGGCAGTCAAGTCGTCGCAAACGCCGCCAATTGTCTCGCAATTCAATGATAGTCTCGACGATACGACAGTTCCAGACGGGCCGGCAGTCAATGGACTCAATGTTTGGGCACTTCTTCATAATGGCGACGATCTTCTTGTCGTAGAAATAGCCGTCGCTTTCGTTTCGTGACATCAGGTGAGCAGTGATAGTGATGTGCCGGACATTGCTGTACACCAATCGCTGCCACTGTTTGGACACACATTCACATCGGATCCGGTCTTCGAGTGTGAGGTAAGAGAGTATGTGTTCACACATATCATCACCGAATCGGTCCAAAGAGTCTTTTGCATACATTTGTGGCTATAATTAAGACATTAAACGTAAGGTTTGATTAAAACTGGCGATTATTATCATTAAATCTCTAAAGCGGTTACCATTTGATTGTCGTGAACCACAACGTCGACCATCTCTTCCTGAGTATCCATTCTTGGGATCAAATGAGTGATAATTGAGTGTTAATTGCAATCAAAAGATGTATTAATTGTTCACAAAATGAGTCATAATTTCAAAACCAAAACATTGAAAGCATTTGAATGAGAAAATAAATTACGTTTTGATAACTGTTTGTAAAGTTTGAAACTTTTTTTGATTTAATTTTGTTGACAATTAGTTAACTTTACATTCACTTAAACAGTAGATATTGAATAAGATATGCTTTAAATTTATATTTACAGTTAAATTATGTGCATTACTTAGGTTTGGGTTTTATTATACATTGAATTCAATTTAAAACTCAATACAAAACCAAAGGTTGTTTAGAATTAAAGCAAAAATAATAATTAATTGTTAATTAATACAAATCAATACAAAAAACATTTATAATTATAAATTATCGATAATACTAATGAAATGATAAAACATTTACGAGAATTAGACGGAAATTATGTGTATATTAGTGGTTCACATATAAGTCGACAATCATTGTCTCAATTCATGGATCAGTTTGTCACTGAATTGCACCAAAACATGTCCGCAATAAAACTTCAGACCCGTACTGTTGGTAATGAATCTCAACTTTGGACTACTATTTCTCGTAAACATTTCCACATCTTTATCGTCCAATTGTTTTCCACGAGTGTCTCGTATGACCAGTTCCTGCAGTTTTGGTAGTCTTGAGATGCGATCCAATGAAACATAGTTTACAACACTTTTCGGGTCAGAGATGTGAAGAATTTGCAGTTTCTGGAGATTTGTCTCAATTTGTTGAAACAGTTTGTTATTAATGAGCCATAAGTCTAATGATAAGTGAGTGAACCCTTTGGGCCAATCACTCATTGATGCAAATGCGTGCCAATCGGTGATCACAAACCAATCGATTTGACGTATATCTAGTTTTAGGTCCAATCGCTTCAATCGTCGCATAACTGGTATTACATTGAAGACATCGACATTCAGTTGTTGTAAGTAAACAAGTTTTCAAAGTTATTTTATAAATCTTTTAATCAAATTCCAAATTTCAATACAAAGTAATTTATAAAAATACAAAATCAAATGAAATAGAAAAATACAAAGTTTGTGGTATGTTTATGAAAACAATTGATTAAAAAGGCGTTTAATTAAAGGGAATTATTATAATTAAAAATGAATTTATAATGAAATGACAAAACATTTAAAGCAATGAATAATTAGACAGAGATTATGTGTGTATTATAGGACCCTTAGACACGTAATAGTGGTTCACATATAACCAGACAATCTTTGTCTCAATTCGTGGATCCGGTTGGCATTGAAATGAAGTAATACGTCCGGAGGCTTATAGGTCTTAGTCTTACTGATCCAAATGGATCGCAACTTTCGGGTATTACGTGCAAACTTCTTGACCACATTCTCATCCAGTTGTCTGCCATCAGTGCCAGTGATGACCAGTTCCTGTAGTTTAGGTAGTCTTGAGAAGCGATCCAATGAAACACTGTTTATAACACTATTCTTGTCAGAGATGTGAAGGATTTGCAGTTTCTGTAGATTTGTCTCCAAATGTCGGAACAGATTGTAGTGATTGTGCCATAAGTGTAGCGATAAGTGAGTCAACCCTTTGGGCCA